GGGGGTGTGACTGACCATTGACCCTGAGACCAATCACCGACCCTGATCTTGGAATGCTGCCCCCCTTGACCTTCATTGGATGGAATTTTCCCCTGAATTTCTTGTTCCCCAATAAAAGGCCACTCCCTGGCGTGCTCTCTCTCTCTCTCTCCTGCTAGTCCTGAGTAAGACTTGCTGCCCCACCAGGTGGTTCGAGGCAAGAGCTAGAGGGAGGGCTGTCTCAGACCTGGTCAAAGAAAAAGGTAATTGAGTCTTGTGTGTTTATTTTGATCTCACTAGTTAACTTCTATGCTATGAACCTCTTGTATGAAATCAGCATGCTGGCCACGCGGTGGAATCGAGAACACTGTCCAATGCAATGTAGGAAATATAATAAGTGACAAAGGCAAAAACTAGAGCCAGACTCACATAGCAAGGCCTTATGAAGACACTATCACACACCTCTGAAAGCAGATAATGTTCCTCAGTGAATAAAATGGATCAAGATGAAAACACAGACATCCTGTAAATTTATCTCTAAATACTGGTAGAACAGAATACATTGTGAGTCACAAAAAGGAACAGGACTTCCCTATTCTCACTAAGATGACTGACTTATATATCTCATAAATTAGGTTTGCTTTCTTTCCATTACTTTGGCTTCTGGTAGAACTAATGTGTTTACCAAAGATCAAATGCATTCAGCCCATCAACACATCCAACAGAAGGAGATGCCTCACTGCACTGCATCCAAGCCAATCCCTAAACAAATACCCATCCTGATGGACACTCTATGGAGAATGCCTTCACTGATGAGCCACACAGCCATTTACAGATGTTGGATGGACTGACTAGTTCACTGCATCCTGTTTGACAAAAACTATGGCCTTGGTGGAAGGACAAGTTACAATCAAAATAAACATTTTTAACAACATAAGGATGAGAATTAAAATTTATATGAGAAAAAAACACCTTTAGTTGTGAGCACCTAATGATGATCAACCTCAAACAAAAAGTGTGGCAAACTTATAAATTGATCCAATCCACATTTATGATGGGATATTTGCCGATATCTTCTCAGTAAATGAAAAAGACAACATTTGTTAATCTACCAATTGTTTAGAAGGTTAAGAAAACCTCTCAGGCTGGAGATGTGGCTCAGGCGGTAGCGCACTTGCCTGGCATGCATGCGGCCCGGGTTCGATCCTCAGCACCACATACAAAGATTTGTGTCCGCCGAGAACTAAAAAAATAAATATTAAAAAAATTCTCTAAAAAAAACCCCTCTTTACAAATGTACAAAATCCTATTTGAAAAATATATAATCATCAAGATTATAAAAAAGAAGTCACACTGACATTTAAAAATGTCATTTGTTTTGAAAAAAGAAAGATGAGTAAATATCTGTAAAAGGTAAGAACCTGATACATGAGCCCCATAGGAAAATCATAATTAACAAAATCTCATTTTCAATGGCTCCATTAACCACACAGTGGTTGATTAGAAATACATTTCTAATTCACAGATTCAACAAGGTTCAAAATGAAAGGAGAAAAACTTACTATGTGATTTGATTTAAAATGAAACTATTAAACTCACACTACTTAAACAAAACTTGTGTAAGTATGTACCCTCAATATTTACTTTCAAAAGTAAAAATTAGCTAAAGTCTAGGGATCAACTTTAAGAATGAGCCACTGGGGCTGGGGTATGGCTCTGTGGTAGAACGCTTGCCTACCATGTGCAAGGCCCTGGGTTCAATCCTCTGGTCCACATATAAATAAAGGTATCATGTGCAACTACAACTAAAAAATAAATATTAAAAAAAGAATGAGCCACTGATAAATGTTATATTCATAAACTGTAGAACATTTTCTTCAGCTTATGTATTTTCTTCAGCATTCTACACACATTCTTTTGCATCAAGATCTTTATTGCTTATATTTATAGGACTGCTCTATATGAAGACTTGGAAACTATTTGTTACAAATGACAACTGTCTTATATATTTCACATTTATAATGTTTTGATCCAGTGCACATTCTTAAATGTGGGACAATTAAAGACTTCTCCACATCTGTTCTCTTCAAGGATTCTCACTATGCTGTGTTCTTTTATATCTGTGAATCAAACCAAGATGAAGGGCTGGGGATGTGGCTCAAGCGGTAGCGCGCTCGCCTGGCATGCGTGCGGCCCGGGTTCGATCCTCAACACCACATTCCAACAAAGATGTTGTGTCCGCCGAGAACTAAAAAATAAATATTAAAAAAAAATTCTCTCTCTCTCTCCTCTCTCTCTTTAAAAAAAAAAAAAAAACCAAAAAAAAAAAAAACCCAAGATGAACAGAGGCATTCCCACAGGCTTTACATTGATAGGAGCATTATCATGTATGCAAATAAAGTGAAGCCTTCCCACATTCTATATTTAGGGATTCTCTCCAGTGTGAGTCCTTTTACCACAGGTTTATGGTAACACCATTGGAAGTTAAAGAAAATCTATAGTTATAGATAGGTGTATTGTAGGAAATACTTGAGTTTATAATAAGAGATAAAGACAAAAACAGACCCAGAAGACTGGAGTCAGCCTCACACTTCCAGCAAGGCCAAGACTTATGAGACATGTCACATACCTCTGACAGCAGATAATGTCCCCCAGTGACAAGGATGATTCAAGGCAAAAAACAAAGACATCTAGTATATGTGTTTCTAAAACTGGTAAAAATGAAAGACATTCTGAACCCCCCAATCCTAAATAAGGAAAGTTCCACTCTTCTCACTGTGAAACCGGCTGGTGCTTCTCATGAATTAGGTCTTTCTTCACCCCCCATTATTTTGGCCTTCCAGGTAAGAACCTTATGGTTACCAAGAATAAGTTGTATCCACCCTCTCGCTGCATCCACTGAATAGCCACCAATCCTTTGAAACCAACACCAATCCTATAGAGAATGTTATTACTGATGAACCAAACAATTAGTTATGGTGGGTGGAGAGATTTTTTACAATAATTAATACATATAAACTGAAATAAAACTGTGGTCCAGTGGTCTCTGGCAAGAGGAAACTCACACCAACATGATGTATCTTTTGGTATGATGACTGAGGAACAAATTACAATCAAATAAGTTTTCACAATGTAAGCATGAAGGATATAATTTATGTGAGGAAAAACACCTTAAATTTTAAGCACATAACCACAATGATTCAATATCAAAGAAAAATGTGGTAAACATATAAATTAATCCATGATTATGATATTTGCAGATTATCTTCTTAGAAAATGAAAAAGACATTTGTTAATCTACAAATTGGAAGAGTTTTTAAAAACCCTTTCTAAAAAAGCATGTATGGAAATCTTGAAGAAAATATATATCAAGAAGTAAAAAATATAAAAATCATGAAAAATGTCATTTGATAAAGAGGCATATATATATGAATATATATATGAATATATATATATATATATATATATATATATATATATATATATATATATGAATACACACATCCTGCCACATGATCCCAATAGAAAAATCCCAACAATCAATAAGAACTAATTTTTTGACAGCTCATTAACCACAATTATTTAAAAATTAAGCCAACTGGCATATTACAAATAAATCCCACTTCAATCAATATGCTAAAAATGAAAGAAGCCAGTGTGGTGGTACATGCTTGTAATTCCAACTCAGGAGGCTAAGACAAGCCTCAGAAACCTAGCATGATCCTGTCTCAAAATAAAAAATAAGAAGAACTGGAGATGTAGCTCAGTAGGAAAGAGCCCCTGGGGATCAATCCCTGGTACTAAAATAAGAAAAAAGGAGAAAAACTTTGCTCCCCGATTTAAAAACATACTATTACCAGGTGTGATGGTGCATGTGTCATCCCAGCAGTTCACAAGGCTGAGACAGGGATCACAAGTTCAAAGCCACCCTTAGCAATTAAACAAAGTTCTAAGCAACTTAGCAAGACCCCGTCTCAAAATGAAAACAAAATACTACCTATTAAACTTACACGGTATTGCTTGAACAAAACAAAATTGTCACCTCAACATTTATTTTCAAGAGTAAAATTGGCAATACCCCAGAGATTTAATTTATGAAACACTGATAAACACAGACACACAAATATATTTTATTTCCTTCAGCTTGTGTATTTTCTGAAGCATGCTACAAAACTTACTTTGCTTCAAGCTCTTCGTATTATTTGCATTTATAAGATCCCACTACATGTGGAACTTCCACAGGACTTAGAAAGTTATAACTGATGACTTTTTGTACTTTCATTTATAAGGCTTTAATCCAATGTGCATCTTACACACAGGCCAACTGAAGTCTTATGTGCACTTCTTTTATTCTAGGATTTCTTTCCATGTTGTGTTCTTTTAGGTCTGTGAATTGAACCAAGATGACTAAAGGCATTCCCATGTGCTTTACATGTATAAAAGGGCTCTCCACTCTGCATTCTCATTTTTGCTAAAAGACCACAGGATAGTAAAAGACTTTCCACATTTCACATTTAAGGTTATTCTTTAGTGTGAGTTCTTTTTTTAATATTTATTTTTTAGTTATAGTTGGAAACAATATCTTTATTTCACTTATTCTTATGTGGTGCTAAGGATGGAACCCCAGCCCCAGTGTGAGTTCTTTCATGTTTGTAAAAGGAACTGGATTGATTGAAGGCCTTTCCACATTGCCTACACACATAGGGCTTCTCACCAGTGAGTTCGTTCATGTATATGAATGTAACCAGATGAACTAAAGGCTTTCCCACATTGCTTACATACATAGGGTTTCTCTCCAGTGTGAGTCCTTTCATGTTTTTTGAGGGAACTGGGATGATAGTAGCCTTTCCCACACTGCTTACATAAATAGGGTTTCTCTCCATTGTGAGTTCTTTCATGTATCTGAGTGTAACTGGAAGAACTAAAGACTTTCCCACATTGCTTGCATACAAAGGGTTTCTCTCCAGTGTGAGTTCTTTCATGTATTTGAACATAACTGGAAGAACTAAAGGCTTTCCCACATTGCCTACATACAAAGGGTTTCTCTCCAGTGTGAGTTCTGTCATGTCTTAGAAAGGAACTATAATCAACAAAAGCTTTCCCACATTGCCTACATACATGGGCTTTCTTTGAAGTGAGTTTTTTCATGTTTTCTGAAGGAACTGGGAACACAGAAAGCTTTCCCACACTGGTTACAAACATATGGTTTCTCTCCACTATGAGTTTGTTCATGTCTTCGAAAATTACTCAAAGAACGGAAGGCTTTCCCACATTGCTTACATCCATAAGGTTTCTCTCCACTGTGAGTTCTTTCATGTGTTCGAAAGTTACTCAAATAAAAGAAGGCTCTCCCACATTGGTTACATTCATTGGGTTTCTCTCCACCGTGAATTCTTTCATGTGTTCGAATGGAACTGTAATCCCTGAAGCCTTTACCACATTGTTTACATACATGGGGTTTCTCTCCAGTGTGAGTCCTTTCATGTTTCTGAACAGAACTGGAACAGGCAAAAGATTTCCCACGTTGCTTACATTTATAGGGTTTCTCTCCAGTGTGAGTTCTTTCATGTATTTGAATATAACTGGAACAACTGAAGGTTTTCCCACATTGCTTACATTCATGGTGTTTATTTCCACTGTGAATTCTTTCATGCTTCAGAAAGCATTTGGTAAAACTGAAGGCTTTCCCATGTTCCTTATATTTATAAGGTTTCTCTCCATATTCCCAATATTCATATGGTTTGTATCCAGAGTGAGCTCTGTGTGTATCATTTAAGGATGAATGACCAACGAGGACTTTTCTACACACAAGCCTTTCATCTTGTTTTATTGAAGGAGTTTTCTTATTCAGGAAAGGATCTGCAGACCAGCTGAATACTTTTCCACATTTGCTACCTAGTTTATGTTCAAAGAGTCTCTCTACCACTTGACTTCTGTAAAGGAAAAAAAAATAGAAGCAGTACACAACAAATGATTTGTTTATTAATGAGACATGCTCTTTTTATGTACGAATATCTGAACATGAATGTCCTAAATGTCCTGCACTATAGGTTAAGAACAGTTATTATCAAAACAGTGGTATTCACATCAGGTTTCTTTTTTCTTTTCTTACTTTTTTTTGGTGTGGTACTGGAGACAGAAGCAGGGTCTTGTACCTGCAAGGCAAGTGTTCTACTACTGAGATACATCCCCAATCCTTTTTGAGACAGGGTCTCAATTTGTTGAGGCTGGCCTCAAATTTCTGATCCTTCTTATTTCTTTCACAAGAGATTACAGGCAAGAATCACTATACCAGCTCATATGAGGTTTCTAATACTATTTCCCAGGTAATTATTTGACTACACTGAATGTTTATATCACATTGAAATACAATTGAGTGTTCCTTATTGTTTTAGATAGCTTTTCACTGCTGTGGCTAAAAAACCTGGTGAGAACAACTTTAGAGGAAGAAAAGTTTATTTGAGGGCTCATGGTTTCAGAGGTCTCAGTCCATAAACAACTGGCTGGGGCTTGAGGTAAGGCTTAACATCACAGTGGAAGAGTGTGGTGGAAGGAACTGGCTCATATGATAATCAAGAAGCAGAGAGAGAGACACTATTTGCCAGATATAAAATACATGCCCCAAAGGCACACCCGCAATGCCCACCTCCTCCAGCCATGCACTACCTGCCTCTAGTTACCACTCAGTTAATGCATGATTGGATTAAGGCTCTCATAACCCAATCATTTCTCCTCTAAACCTTCTTACATTGTCTCACATGAACTTTTGGGAGACACCGAACATCCAAACCATAACACTTATGCAAAAATTTCAGGGCCAAATCCATTTTGTATTTTGAAATATTTGAATGTACATAATGAGATCTTGAAGCTGTGCCCCACCTTAAACACAAAATTTACTTTTATATCATATATACCTTACACCCACACCTGCAAGGAATTTCATACATAATTTTAAATAATATTGTGCATGGAACAAAGTTCATATACATTAAGACATCAGAAAAATGTCACTTGTGTGGACATGATGTTGGTGCTTCACATGTTTCCAACACTGGAACATCTTTTTATTTTGGATTTTTCAATTATGGATGTTCAACTTGTATGCATTTTAAAAAATATTTTGAGATTTAATCAATTTGAAGCTGAAGTTATTTTTCCTCATTTGCTCATTTTTAAAATTTCCTGTCACTCCAAGATTCTTGAGGGACACTGCTTTCTTTTGTGAGTGTAAATTACCTTAGATTTCTCCTGCAGTTTTTGTAGTCATTTTTAATGCTCTCATCTTCCTGTCTTCTTCCTAAGAGTAGACAAAAAAATAATTATGAATTACTATAGTGTTACAGAAAAATTATTAAATCCTAGGTAGGTTCATGGTATAATGTGCTCATGACTGGAATATTCATCAAAGTTTTCCTTTACTTAGTCCAAATCATGAAGCAACATTGATGAACAAGAAACACTTGTTCTCTGATTGATTGTATAAGACAATGATGTTACTCTTACCTAGAGAAGCCAGGTTCCTGAAGGTTTCCCGCATCACATTTCTGTACAGCTTCTTTTAAGAAGGATCCAGCAAAGCCCACTCCTCCAGGGTAAAGTTCACAGTCATATCCTCAAAGGTCACTGACTCCTAAAACATCCCACACATTTCAAGCAGGAAAGGTGAGACTTGCTTTACTGGAAATCCATATTCACTACATAGTAAGGTCACATGATTCTATGTTCTCTAAATGTTCATTCCATATTACTCAGTCATAAAGAAGAATGACATTACAGCATTTGAATTGGAGACTATAGAGCTAATGAAATAAGCCAATCCCCCAAACCAAAGGCCAAATGTTGTCTCTGATATGTGGATGCTATCATACAATAAGGGGTGGGGGATGGATGAATAGAAGTTCATTGGGTTAGATAAAGGGGAACGAAGAGAAGGGAGGGGGAGGGAATCGAAAAGACAGTAGAATGAATCGGACATAACTTTCCTCTGATCATATAAGAATACACAATCAGGGTAACTCCACATCATGTACAAACACAAGAATAGGAAGTTAAACTCCACGTATGTATAATATGTCAAAACATAGTCTATTGTCATGTATAATTAAAAATAACAAATTAAAAATCTTTAAAAAATGTTCATTCCACTTCTTGGTCATCACACTAATTCTGACACTAGACTAGGGAACCATTTAGTAAAGTGACAGCACAACAAGAACACCTGTCATGCTGCTGGGTCACCCAACTTCTCTTTGTACAGAGTGTGCACAGCACCTCTCACAACAAACTGCTACTACTCAGTGTTCACAAAGTTAACAGCATCTGTACTGAGACTGCATGTTCTCAGAAATGCTTGAGAACAGAGTTAAACCTTTGCTGGTGTGTTTGGGAACTGCTCTTGGGATGGATCTCAGCAGCCTACCTTTAAAGATGGGTTAGCTGTTCCTAACCAGTTTCTGCCACCACATGATATTTGTCTAACTCCTATTGTCCCTGTGAATGTTTGCAAGTTTCTGACAGGTTCATCAGAGGAAGCCTACCTGATAAGCCCCCAAAATACACTACGGATGATGAATTTCTAATGAGCAAGTCTGGTAGATACTATTTAACACCTCTTGTCACAACTTGTTACTTAGAGAACTGAGCACATCATCTGTGATTGTACAGAGACAACTTTGGAAGTTCGGAATTGTTTCTTATAGGCAAACCTTAATTAAATACTAAGACTCATGGAGAACAGTTCACTAGGCTAAAAGAAAAATGTTATAGTTTTTATTTGAGATGTAAAGGAACAATGAAATTAGGGAAAAAATAGCCCATGTTTTTAGAAAGAGCTCAATATTACGAAGATGTCACTTCTCATACATATGTACAAAATTCTATAATTCCAAAAACACACTTTTGACTTGACAACAAAATGTCTAATGATGTTTAAAATCTTTTTTTTTATGTTCTTTTTTTTTTTTTTTTAATTTTGAGACCAGATCTCACTAAATTGCTTGGGGCCTTGCAAAACTGAAGCTGGTATCAAACTTGCAATCTTCATGCCTCAGGAGGATTACAGGCATTACAGGCATTCACCACAATGCACTGGCTGATTGTTTAAAGTCTTTGGGACAAGAAAAGTGACAACTTACCTAGCCTGGTCTGAGTTTCCTATCAGCTCCTCCCCCCCAAAAAAAGGAGTCCCCAGCCTTTTCATCATTTTATCTTGATGTGAGGCACAAAGGGAAGGAGTGTTGAGGGTTAAATACTGTCACCAAACATCCAAAAAAGGAATTAACATTTTTCCACTTTCTAGAATAGCATGGAAGCATAAAGAAGAGGACATTCCTGTCCACAGAAGAAAAACAAAGAAATTTAAAATCAACAACTCTTCTAAACTTGGAGAAGTAAGGTGGTATTCACTAGCTTAATATTTCAAAATCCATCATTTTCCTACATATCAAATACAAACAACTGGATTTGAAATTAAAAATCACAACACTATTTATACAGGAGAGAGAAACAATTTAATATAACATGAAAGCCTACATAAGAAATGTTCAACACCAGATGTCATCGACAAAACCAAAATATAAACATAGAGATGCTGTTTATAATAGCTGGACAAAAATTAGATTTACTAGGGCTGGGGTTGTGGCTCAGTGATAGAGCACTTGCCTAGTATGTTTGAGGCACTGGGTTTGATTCTCAGCACCACATATAAAAGTCAGATGATAAATTCATATGCTACCAAAATTCCTTACTAGCTGGGTGTGGTGGCCCCTGCCTATAATCCCAGCAACTGGGGAAGCTAAGGCAGGAGGATCATAGTTCAAGACTAGTCTGGACAACTTAATGAGACCCTATCTCAAGGGGAAAAAAAAAAAAAGACTAGAGATGGAGTTCAGTGATAAAAGAGCCCCTGAGTTCAATCACCAATACTGAAAAAGAAAAAAAATCTCTAATGCCTTTAAATTTATCCATCACTCTATCACCTACACATTATTATCCAAAGTACATGTATGAAGACACAAATTGGTGTGAATATACTTTCTATACAACCAGAGATATGAAAATTTGTGCTCTATATGTGTAATAGGAATTGTAATGTCATATATAAATAAAAAAATTAATTTAAAAAACTCTACTTAGTAATAAAACACATGAGAAAGCTATAAAGAATACCAAAAACTGCATCTTGTGGTCATCTCTGGGTGCAAACAAAGACGAAATCAGGAAGACACACCAGAAATAACCTATTTATTCACCTGCATGGTGAGTCCTCCAGTATTTATATTCTTACCTAAATTTAGTATGAAACTCATCATCCCACTCTCAGGTTCCAAACAAGAAAATCACCATACTGCACTTACATTAAAAAGGAAAATTCTTAAATGGTGAAGTAAACTGCTATTTTTTGAGAAGGACAATTATACCAAGGAAACAAAAGAAAGCAATAGGTTTCACAGGTCAAACACACTCCTATATTTATAGACCACTCTCACTGTGCAGTTGCAGCCCAGGGGGGCTTCCTCCCACAATGTGCGGGAAACCTGAGTAGCCAGGAAATGGAATTCTGGAATCTCCCCACACTATACTTGCCCCTCCTCTCAGCATAAAAAATCCTCCCTCCTCCACAGGTTCGATTCTGACAAGTGACCAAACTATCACCCAAAGCAATTGGAAAATTCCAACCTGTTGTGTTTTATCGACATCATTTCTGACTCCAAAGGTGTGCTGTTTGCTCAACACCAACCAATTCTCCAAGAAAGTGTCCCACAATTTAATTCTGATACCACCCAGATTTAGCACAGTCCTGACAAATTCAGGGTTCAGTCTGACCACTGTCTCCACTGCAGATGCCAGTTCAAAGCAGGTGTTTGCTCTGTCTGGTCACCAATTCCCATCAGAAGTTAAAGAAAGGTAACACCTTGAGTTTCCTCATTAGCATAAATTCAGACACTGCCTGAAAGAGGCTTATGATAACTAATCAAAGAGATTCCTACTGTTTAGGAATTCCAAGGGTTAAGCTTGCCAGAAGCTGGGATGAAGACCATTTGTTGTTGTTGTTGTTTATTATACTCTACACCAAAATAAAACCTCAAATTCATAAGCCATTTTCTCCAGCAGTTAGACACCAAAGGTGTCTTTCTCTCAGACTGTACCTCACAGGTTTTCTCAATTAACATACATTGCACTCTGACCAGACTGATAACGTGAATATAAAAGCAAACAGCATAAAATGCTGAATTTTAACCAAGAGCTCTAATCTTGGTAAAGAGCAGTGATTAAAAATCTCCTACCTCCAATACTTTGATTTGGGGAAACATCCTACCCCAAAATGAACACTCTCCCTATTACACTTAGATAATGGTCCCCCCCCCCTTTTTTTTAAACCAACAAGGCCAGATACACACTTTACAAATTCCCACTTTGGGCTTAATGTATAACTAAACTGATCAGTAGAAACAAAACAGTTAAATAAGCAGACTTTCCTCGTAGCTCTCCTTTTTCCAGGCCTGTTGACCCACCTCAGCCTGAGCCAGCACATAAGCCCCTCTTGAGCGTTACCCAAGCACCGGCGGACCTCAGGGGGAAAGTTCTCCTCTCCCCCAACTTTCCCTACTCCCTGCAAAAGAAAAGCCCTCTTCTGCCTTTATGTGCTTGCAAACCAAACGGTGAGGGCTTCTTCACCGCAATACTCCTTCCAGGTGGTCACTTGTGTCCATCACTTCGGTTTTTAAAACCAGGTGTAGTCACAGTCCAAGGACAGTACCAAGGTGTCAGAGAGGGCAACTCGGCTCCTCTTCCACCTCAACCCCAACCGTGTGGAAGCGGAAGGTCCCCCTCTCCTAGGGGTCTGGCTTCGTGGAGAAGCGCCTGGTAAATCAGGGATGGACTGGCAGCCAGCCCTAAGCAGCACTGGGAGGTGGTGGGTTTGAGACCTTCCTTCGCAAACAGGTAGGAATTCCGGGCAATTAAGCATGCCACGGGGGGAAAATGAGGAAAAGCTGGCGGCTCCCCCATCCCGCAGCTCCTCCCGCGTCTCCCCGGGACCCTCCCGCCGACACCGCAGTCTGGTGAGACCAGGACTCCGGGCTGGCCCAAGTCGCCGCGCAGGGATGGGACAGGACGCCGGGGTCCCGGCTGTCACGTCAGCCCCACGGCGCGGCAGGAGGGACCGAGGGCCGAACGCCGCCAGCGGCGGGGCCGACGTGGGGGGCCGGGTCCCTCCGCCCCTCCCGCCAGCGCTCCTTCCCCACCCTGCCCGCTCCCCAAAACTGACCATTTCCGGCTTCCGGGGTCGCCCGGAGTCCTCCCGACGGTAACTGGCGTCAGTGGACGCCACCAAGCGAAGGAGGCTGAGGCGCTGGCGTCTCTCAGAACAGCCGACCGCCCGCCCGTCACGGCGGCGCCTCAAATGCGGACCCTTCAGAGTCTGGGTCCGCCCCTCCCGCCGCCGGCGCTCCTGATTGGACAGTTCGCACGGCCCCGCGCCCCGCGCCTCTGATTGGCTAGTGATCCAGGACCCGCTCCCCAGGACCCGTTCCTCAGGACCCCAGCGGTCCCCTAACTTGGCAGAGATGAGCAAAAATGGCAGATTCTGGCTACAACACTTACCCGGCCTTGCTTCCTCCCCAGCACAGACCTGGCTCTGGCTGAGGATAAGTGGAACTTGCTCCTGGCTTTCCAGAGCGGTCAACCGCTTCTTAATTGTAACTCCGCGGTCTCGCTTCTTCCTCCTGGAAATAGGGTCATAAGCATGCTCAAGGAATTCCAGACGGTGCCCACTGCCACCTTTTCTGCGTCTCTCTAAGCCCACACTGTCCTCTGCAGTCTGGTCTCCTCATAAAAGCCAGAGAACTCTCTATACTCAGAAATCTGGCCAATCATTCATGGTTAAAACCAACCCACTGTTACACTTTGGAAACATGTTTGGCAGTATCTATGCAAGCTGATGGAGGCCTCTCCTATGACCCAGCAATTACATTCCCAGGTAGACCCAAAGAGCCCATTGAGATTTCCTGCTAAGGAAACATAGTAGGCTTCATGAGAACTCCAAATTAGAAATAACAAACACCCATGGATATGTTCAGAGATATCAAAGATTATTTCTGAACGCATTTAAAAATTTTTTGGGTTTCCTACTTCCCTAAGAACAAACTTTTCAAGTGGACTTCGTGGTCATCTGTGCTCTTGAACTCTGACCTGTCTGCCTTCATCAGGACTCCCTCAGCCAGTTTCACCTGGCCAGAGCTCAGTGGACATCCCATTATTCCAGACACACCAGCTCTGTCACCCTGAGCCTGTCTGTGCACTTGCTGTTCCTTCTACCTGGAAACTCCCCATCCATCTGCCTGCTTCATCTGAATCACAAGTGCATGCATTTCCGTTCCCATTTTACACATCACTCCCTCCAGACACTTTCGATAAGCCCCTAGCTAGCTCTTAGAACTACACTTAGCCCCTATAGATGTCTGGGCCTCTCATTGTAACTCTGACCATTTGGTCATCTCTTGATACAGGAGAGCTTCCAAAACTGAATCATGAGAAGCAGAGGACAGAGAATTCTTTTCTTCTTCATCACTGCTGACTCCCAGCACCCCGAAAATTTCCATATCAAATGAGCATGAAATTGACATTTATTGACTCTGAGAAAATAAGAGGGCAAGAGGCTGTAAGAACACAGAAGAAGTGTGAATCTGACTAGGCTCACTGAAGAACTGGCAATTCACTTGGAGGACTTTGAAGGATAAAGAGCTTCCCAGGACATGCTGGAATAGTGTTCTTGGCAGAGGGAACAGTTTGAGCAAAGGTGTGGAGGTGTGCTGAGTATGAGAGGGAAACCTGGAAATACATACTGGGCATATGCTATATGGGGTCTTGATGATTCCCAGAGAGTCATCACTTTTGAAAGTAGGAGTCCAGGTAAAAGGCTGGGGCATCTTGAAAGTTCAGGCCAAATTCTATTTGGAATGAGGCAGCCATATCATTCCTTTGCCCAATGTTTCAGGTAGCTCTATTGTGCTCTGGACCGGAATTTTCAGAAAACACAATTGACAGTATGTTCTCTCAGCATAGAAGAAATCTGAAAAGGACCTAAGAGAGGGACAAGACGTCTGTGAATATAAGAATACTAGGCTCCATAAACTCTTTCTTCACTGATCCTTCTGGCACTCGGGCCAGAGAGAAAAAAGACCTAAGGCTAAGGCACAGAGATGGATGGAGATTGGCCATGGACAGCAGCGTTGCTGCTTCTCATAGACCACTTCTGTAGGTATCTGCCCTATAGTATGTAATTCTAGTGACTATGGTGGAATATCCTGACCATCTTCGGATCATCCATGATGCTGGTTCCTCTATGTTCCTATTTCTGTGAAAAGACACAGATCATGTTAGGTTGGAGAAGGATCTCTTCCTTAGCTCAAAACTGTCAGACCTGACCTTGTCTTCCCAAAGCCAGAGTCTAGTCCACTGGACACTTAAGATGACAAAGAATCATAACATAACCTCACATCTAAGAGTGGTCATCTGGTCAACCTCACTTTAAGAAAGTAGAAACTGAGGCTCAGAGAGAAGTAATCAAGTATAGATGCCATAGTAGGTCTGCACAGTCCTGGCTGTCACCAAGATATCATCTGATTGACCAGCACTTGGTTGTCTCTCTTCCTATCTGTGTGATAGTCTCCTTAACTGTTTATAACACTCTGAATCTGGAGACAGCTTTCTGAAGTGGGACAAGTGACATTTTTTGACTTTTAGTTTCCACTATAATATATTATCAATATGTGTGGACATCAAGTCTAATGCATGTAGAATATGTGGCACATAGTAGTTGCTGGGTCTGTCAACCAAGTCCCTTCTGATTCCCTTTCTGTGCATTCCTCTTCCTAGGTCTACAGCACTCATTCATTCCAAACATACTCTCTGTTCCAGTCTCTTAGAGAGATTTCAGATGAGTCAGACATTTTTTTCCTCCCTCAAGACACTCGATCCAATGAAGAGTCAGGCACAGATGAAGGCACGGGTAAGAAGAACAGGAGCTGGGGGAACCCAGAATGCGAGAGTTGGAAGACTTCCCAGGACCAGGGCAATTTAGAGCTGGAAGTGTAAGAGTGGTTTCTCTTGGGCAATGTATATGCTCAGTGTCTTCTGGTCAAAGTGCATAGCTCTGCCTCTCTCCTTAGTCAACTTCTATCCTATCCCCATCATCCTGGTGATACCAGCCAGTCTAACATGAGCAGTGTGTTCCTCTACAATCAACATATCCAAGATGATATGTTCCCCAGTGGATGCCTGAAACAATGGATAGTACTTAACTATATATATATATATATATATATATAAAAAACATATAAAATGTTTTTTCTTATACATACATACCTATGATAAAGTTTCATTTACAAATTAGGCACAGTAAGAGATTAACAATAGTTAATAATAAAATAGAACCATTATAACAGTACACTGTAAAAATATCATAATAATGTGCTCTCTTTCTCAGTGTGCCACATTATTCCGTAGTCACCCTTCTTCTAGTGATGATGTGGCATCATACAATGACTACCTGATGAGATGAAGTGAAATGATTGATGGCACAGGAGGGCACAAGATTTCATCAAGGTACTCACAACAGCACACAATTTAAAATTTATGAGTGTTTCTGAAATTTTCCATTTAATATTTTCAGACCATGATAATCATGGTACCTGAAACCACAGAATGCTATCTGTAGATAAGGAGGGTATGACTATAATCTTACAAACCCCACAGCAAGGGCTGTGTCCACATAGCTCAGGGCAGCCCTGCCTTGAAGGCTTGTCTAGGTGAAGCCAATGCTTTTGTGAATTGAACTAATATGCTGTGGCTGCCAAAGGACTGTGCTACAGGCTGGTGGCTGTACAATGGAAAGTAGGCCAGAGGTAAGGTGCAGCTTAGGTGGGGGTCACCTTCATAAGGGGGAGTGATGGCTGAGAAGGGAAGTCATCAGTTGCTTTGTCATGAAGCAGAGATGGATGATTCTACACAGGTAACATTAGCTGGTAAATCTCAGAGAGGACACGAGCTTGGAGAGAGGTGGCAAGATTGAATCCGGACAGTGGCAGAGGCACATGGTGAAAATGAGTGTTGGAGGAAAGAGATAGGAAGGAATAAGGAGGCCAATCCCCTGGCTTGACAGACCCCAGCCTACCTCTCTTTGGGGGAGACTACCACCTGCCTGTAACCTATGGCAGACTGAGCCCATGGCAGGAAACTACACTCAGGTAACAACTGTACTAATATCATGGTGTCTCAGACTCCCAGCCTAGCCCCTCCCCAGATCCTCATTTGTAAATGGGGATCAGCCCGTCACCTGGACATCCCTCCTCTCAGCCACACCTCTTCTTCTTCTTCTGTGTTCCACCTGTGCACCGAGACAGGAATGGGGAGCAGCAGTGCCTCACCTGGACACCTTCACACACAGGATGGGGATAAGACAGCTCCCAGGGGTGAGTGAGGCAATGCTCTGTGCAGGTGAGTGTCCTCCTACCACACCTTTACCTGGTTCCCACACAGGTCACCCCACGTGGCCTTTATCTTACCAATTTTCACTCAGCTATACCCGCCCTCAGGCACTTGCCCTTGTCTTCACTCAGGTGTCCACAGCTGGCCTGTGATACCTTCATACTGTAATGTCTGGTTCCCACCGTGATCCTTGGCCTCTCCCCTGTTCCAGTCACCTGCCAGGTGTCCCCACAGGACATAAGGTGTGGACTAGAAGCCTTGGACCCACCCTTTTAAGTTCCTCATTATCAATCCCTTGCCCTCAACCTGGCCAGAACGCTTGTGCAATAGAGGTCCCCAGGTTGTGTCCTTGTCTCCTCCCTGTCCTAAAAACGTTTCTTGATCCAACTCCTGTTCCTTCTCGGTTCCCTTCCCAGACCTTTACCCTCGAGCATCTGAAGACTTCAACTCACCTGGTTTTCCCTGAGTCCCTCTCCAATCCCCTACCCACTCACTTCCACCTGACCTCAATCTCCCTAGTTCTCTCCAAGGCTCTCATTGTATCTGGTCGATGTTTAGCCAGGTGCTCGGAGTGTGGTGTTGGACGCTGTCCTAGATTTATTTCAGCTGTTGCTGGGCTAGCAGGGCTGGGACTGTGGGTGCTAGGGCACCCGCTCAGCCCTGCACTCCCTGCCTCATTCTGCACCTTCTGGCTCAGCTCGGCCCCCAGTCAAAGGCCGCCCCTTCTTGGCTTGGCCTCCCCTACCCATAGGTCATCCCCATTCTTCTTGCCAAAGCAAACCCCTTCTGGGTCATCCCAGCTCCAGGGACCCTCCCTCCCCTCCATGATCCCTCCCAGCCATCTAGCAGCTCACCCCTTCTCCC